GCCCACGGGCACTGCAGGGCGGCGGGAGGAGGGGGCCGGGTCTGGCCGGATGATGGAGCAGTAGTCCTGCAAGCCCTTCAGTGCCCATGTGCTCCTGCCTGACACGCTCTCCCGGAGTCTCTGCTGGCCAAGTGTGTCAGACTGTGGGACATGAGGAGGGGCTGCCTCTGGCCATGGTCTGGGGGTCTCAGCTGTGGAGGCCACCAGCTTGGTGCGCAAGTACCTTTTTGTGATAGAAGTGGGTGGGGCTGACATTGCCTGGGGCCCTCACCGTCCCGTTCTGGTCTGCACGGGGGGAGGAGATGTTTAAGGAACAGGATCAGGGTGACCAAGGCAGGCGTGGTCAGCCGGAAGGTCCTGGCAGCTCAGCCTGTGGGGAATTTCTTCAGGACCCAACCTGCAGCCACTGTCTGGTCTTCCCCGACTAAATCAAGTCCCCGGAGTACCTATCCTCGTCTTGGCCTGGGCCCGCTCCTCGGCCCTACAGCTGGGGACCATGTGGTCAGACCTGAGTTCAGGTCCCAGCTCTGCCACTTCCGGGCTGAAGGACAGGGCAGCAGGGCCCACTGAGGGCTTTACGAGTACTGGCACAGCCAAGGTCATTGTCAGCAGTGGGCTCTGGGGGGGCACCATCCTGGTAAGGCTGGACCAACTTAAGACAGCTGGTCGCGGGGGACAGTGGCTGGGACAGTCAGGAGTCGTGGTGTGAAGGGGCAGGCCTGGCTCACCCAACTCCCTGGAGGTCCAAGGCTCAGCAGGTGAAGGTCAGGCAGGAGGCATGGCAGGTGCAGAGCCAGGGTCTTTGGGGCTGGTCGAGGTCCAGTGCCTGATGCAGCCCAAACCTGTGATGTCAGTGGGAGGTGACATATCGCATGCCTGCCGATGAGGGGACGGGGCCGTCAGGAGGTAGAGCGAGGAGGGATCCCCCACCCCCAAAGGGAGGCATGAGTTCCTAAAACCAAGCCTGGCCCCAGACTGGCCTTCTAGGGCAGCCTCCCTTCTTCCTCTCGCTGGGACTCATCTTGGGGAAGCAGAGACTTGGGGAGGGGCCCTTCTGGCTCCTGAAGCCTCAGGGCTATAGATGTGCCAGGCCCTGGGGGCCCCCACTGCTCACTCTGGGAACAATGCAAATGCCAGCTCAGTCCTTTCCTGAACATTCTCGCCCATCCTGGCCGGCACCCCAGACACCCTTGTCCCCTTTTCACCTTTGATGCTAGTGAGGTGCAAGTGTCCTCCCCCACCCAGCCCCCTG